TCTGTGGATTTTTGTTGCCTACACCAGCCTGCCTATTTTATAGAATAGCATATGCTCGTATGTGAAAAGACTTACAAAGCGTTCGTTAAGACTAGATACCTCTAATCCAAATTCAAGTGGAAACTCAGTATTTTGGAAAGTCCAACTCAAGCTTCTACAGCATTAAACTATATGTAGAAGAAAAATATCGTTAGTACAGGAAGTGTAACTGTATTATAAGTTCAGATACCCAACCGTCCAGTAAGAAGGTTTGCACTCTCCACACAGGAAACCGTCATCCTGCCGGAATTAATTCAAGAGCGGTCGAACGTGCAACGCGATTTGATGCAGAGAATCTTGTTTATAAATGCAGAAATAAGGTTATTTAAAGTAGTAGTGGTATTACACACCTCATTGTGATGCCCCAACGACACGATCGTTCAGGCATGACGTTCAACATCCTCCCACTGGAAACGGCTTACTTAGAAAGGCGTAATGATTTCAACAACGTTGTAATAGAACCCCTGTATGTGGATTTCGCAGTAAAATTCAACCTGCTTGAAAACAGTGCTGAATACTTAATCAACGACTGATGCGATTTTTTCAGTGAGTAAGTGGCTGCTACAGCTTTCTGAATGGGGCACAAATTACAGGACATGTAGCTCACAGTACAGTAGTGAGGCGCTAGTGAAATGTATAGAAGACATAGTTTTACTATACCTTCCAACGTTCATGGAGAGGAGCTTGAAATCTTACATCTTGCAGAAATCGAAGAAACATGGTAAACAGAAAACAAGTACTACAACAATTAAAGGTAAACTACCTTGCCATAACGTCAAACTTATCGGTGTTCTATCACAATATCTATGAATCAGAAAAAGTCTGGACTGACTTCTTCAATCTCCTGCCAAACTTGATCAACTCCTGAAAATTGTAAAAAGCCATTAGAATATGGCGTTTACATTTGCGGTCGCCGCAGCATCTGGAATGACTTACCCTTTCGCTCTTGTAATTTTAATACTGATAAAAGTGATTGCGGCTTCGATTAAGTGTTAGTCCCATTTCTATGGCTCATATCGACAACGCGGTCATATACCACTAAAACCCGACATCATTGATGCAATGAAGGCCACTTTTACATTTAGTCTATTTCGAGCTCTATTACCAATATCATTTATACACTCGCAACCTGCACATCATTTGGTGCCAGCATAATCTGGATAAATAAGCACTGCACAATTCGTCCGCACCTCCATGATCGAATCTGTCAATATATGCGACAAGAACTCCATTGTTGACTCTCTGGTCAACACCTTCGCTGTGATTCAGAAAATGCCCACGTGAAAGCGTCCTCCGGCCACCTAAACGCACGGATCAGCGCCATGCCACCAATGGTGAAGTAAGGTTGGCGGAGCTGAGAAATGTTTCTGCTGCTAGACGGGTCTAAACTGCGCTCTAAATGCATTTCCTGCTCACTAGAGGAACATCAGGACGCTCACACCACGACCGATGCAGTCCTTTCCAGATGCTGTGGCCAACCGTGTCAGGCTACGCGATTTGGCCTATGCGAGAAATGCCTGAAGAAGGCGCACGAAGAGAACTTTGGAGACGCTGAGCTGCGTGCGGGAGGGTGTGTTCTGCTGTGCTCCAATCGACAGGGCGTTCCCCATTCAGAGACGACACCACTAAAAGAGGATCACGTAAATGTTTTGTGATTTTCGATGTCAAGTTTTCTGTTACTTCGTTTGTTA